TTCCTTATCTATTTAACTCATCTATTTACTAGCATACGTGAATTGACTATGAATCACTTTGTCCTTTTATGTTTGCCGGAATTGTGGCTGTCCATTTAAGTCCAAACTTCCAGAGAGCAGAGACCACATCTGTTTAATTTGCATTGTATGGACAGCACCATGTCACAAAGTCCGGGACTTGGATCCTGGAGACCCAAGTCTGGCCATTTGACCCTTAAAATCCAGACCTCGTTCTTATTTGCTGTTTAAAAAAAAAAAAAAAGGGACGCCTGGGTGGCTCAGTTGGTTAAGCGTCTGCCTTCAGCTCAGGTCAGGATCCCAGGGTCCTGGGATCGAGTCCCACATTGGGCTCCCCGCTCAGCGGGGACTCTGCTTCTCCCTCTGCCTGCCGCTCCCCCCTGCTTGTGCTCTCTGACAAATAAATAAATAAAATCTTAAAAAAAAAAAAATGGGCAGGGGAGGGGTGCCTGGGTGTCTCAGTAGGTTGGGTGTCTGCTTTCAGCTCAGGTCATGATCCCAGGGTCCTGGGATCGAGCCCCGCATCGGGCTCCTTGCTCAATGGGGAGCTTCTCCCCTGCTTGTTCACGCTCTCTCTCTCTCTCTGACGAATAAATAAATAAATAAAATCTTATAAATATCTATACATTAAAAAAATAATTATAAAATGCATTTTGATGAGAGACCATAGCTGCAGCAGGCTGTGAGCCCAGTGATGGCCTCAAGCCATGTTGCAGCTGAAACAAAGCTTTGCCCAAAGGGACACTGGCTATCCCAATAGCCTCCCTCACCTCCATCCCCAATGCAAAACAGCAGTATTCATGGGTCTTGCCTTTTAGGGTGTGTTCTCTTTTTCTTCTAGGACATCCTGGCATTTATCTCACCTCTTCACTAGAATTCAAGCAGGTGTGGTGGGAGGTGAGGGGTCACAGAGCGAAAGTGCCCTTGACCCATATCCCTTTAAGACTGGACAGAAACATACATACACACCGCATGAGGGCACATATGCATGCAAGCCCTATGACAGAAAAGCCTGAAGTCCATCTTTCTGAGCTGTCTCTACACACCGTCACTTAGAGAAGTGAATAAAACAGGAGAGTCTGGGCCAGCTTTATCCATTCTGTGAAGGGGGAAGCTTCTTATAGGAAAGGCTCAGAGATAGGAACTGGTTAGTGATTCTCAGCAAAGGAATGGCATTGTAAGATATTAGCGAACAAAGTCAACTTTCTAGAATAGAATCCTAGGTATCAGATCTGGAAGACTCTTAAGAGCCAGATAATCCCGTCTTTTTTGCAAAGTCTAAAAGGTGAAGGGATTGAGTAAAGGTTGCAGCACAGCAGGTATGAGAACCTAGGAGCCCATGACCAGGGCCCTGGCCCCAAGTCTGCCGTGCGAGAAGCGGCTTAGATTAATGAGGGGACAGAGAGCCACAGCCACCACCCGTTTAAGTAGAGGTGGTAAGAACTATCAGGGACTGTGGGTACATTCCCGGAAGCTTGGGGAGTGAGGAAATGCAGTGAACTGGGAGCTTGTATGAGGCCGTTTAAGAACCAGATATATCTGCTGCTGTTTAAATGAAATCTTTGAAGATTTTCAGAACCGTCAAAGTGTGCAGAACTTTATACTAAAAGTATTTATTTATTTATTTATTTATTTGAGTATAGTTGACAAACAATGTCACATTAGTTTCAGGGGTACAACAGAGCGATTCGGCTTCTTGCTGCCTTATGCCGTGCTCACCAGGAGTGTAGCTACCACCTGTCACCATACAATCCTATTATAATATCACTGATTATATTCCCTCCGCTGTGCCTTTTACTCCTGTGACTTATTCATCCCATCACTGGGAGCCTGTACCTCCCACCTCCCTCCCCCCATTTTGTCCAACCCCACGTTTCTTCCCCTCCAGCAACCATCAGTCTGTTCTCTGCATTTGTAGGTCTGATTCTGCTTTTTGTTTGTTTATTCATTTGTTTGGTTTTTTAGATTCCACTTCTAACTGATATCATATGGTATTTGTCTTTCTCTGACTTAGTTCACTTAGCATAATACCCTTTAGGTCCCTCCTTGTTGTTGTAAATGGCAAGATCTCATCCCTTTTTTTATGGCTGAGTAATATTCTTGTGTGTGTGTGTGTGCGTGTATGCAAATGTGTGTGTTTTTTTTTAAACCTTTTTTTTAAATGGCTTCTGTGGGGCGCGTAGGTGGCTCAGTCAGTTAAGCGACTGCCTTCGTCGGCTCAGGTCATGATCACAGGGTTCCTGGATCAAGCCCTGTGTCGGGCTCTTTGCTCAATGAGGAGTCTGCTTCTCCCTCTCTCTCTGCCACTCACCCGCTCATTCTCTCTCCCTCTCTCTCTCTGTCAAATAAATAAATAAAATCTTTTTTAAAAATGGCTTCTACTGGGTTTTGTCCACTGCCTTAATGAAGAAGTTAGTGAAGAACTATCTAAGGCCAGGAAACCAGGTTGACAGAAGCCCGATCTTCCAGTGAGACCAGCTGTGGGTGCTAAATGGTGCTTGCAAAAAAAAAAAAAAAAAAAAATTAATGGTGCTTGCATTGACTGTCAGTTGTAATGCCAGCCACTGAAGAAGGGGGCATGGGCTTAGCAGTCTGGTTGAGAGCAGAGGCCCTCTTCTTATGACATGTCGAGAGAGGACACTGGTCTGCAGCCCCTGCTGTGGGTAAATACATGAAAGGGAAGAGTTAAGAGAGAGCAGAGCAACTGGGATCTCCATGCTAAGTCCTGCGGCCCAAGGCCTTCCAAAGTACTGGTCACCGAGGCCTCAGAAACACAGGGGCAAGTCCTAGGGTCCTGAAGAGAAGAAGAGGGGAAAACACATGAAAGAAAGGAGACGCAGGTGTAGAAGTGAATTATTCTCTATCACGTGCCAAGGCTACCTGTTTTTACCCACAGGAATATGTAGCAGTCTTTCAGAGTCAAACCCTCGTTGTTTTCTAGGTTGAGTGATTGACTGGGCCATTAAGCGTTCCTTGGCCCAAATTTCCTTCATTGGGAATAATACCTGTCCTGCCGGCCTCACAGCGTTGTTGGAACATCTCATGAGATAATGGACATAACTTCCCTGCAGAAACCATAAAGCACTCCTCAAGTGGAAGGCAATAATATTACTGTTCTAATTACTAGGAGCCCTTCAGAGGGCTGGCCTGTGGGTGGAGAGTCATAGACACTTGGAAGGTTACCTTGCTTCTTTAGCCATCGCTCTGCACACTGGTCTTCCAAGCTGGATTGCCCTGACAAGCAGAGTAGGGAATAGATTAAACGTCCTAGAAGGGCAAAACTAGACATCTCAGTCAGATGTTCGGGGCTCACCAGCCCCCGTGGAGGCCAAGTTCTTTCTTACATTAAATCTTTTTTTTTTTTTTAAGATTTTATTTATTTGTTTGTTTGTTTTAAGTAATCTCTACACCCAAGGTGGGCTCAGGGCTACAACCCTGAGATCAAGAGTCACATGCTCCACCAACTGGGCCAACCAGATGCCCCTAAGTCTTTCCTTTTATTATTTATGCATGCTTATTTCCTCCTGCTCTGCCTGAAGATTTTCTCTCTACCTGCTGAATTACGATGTCACCTTTAGTGTTTATCCACTGAAGACGCTCACTGCTGAGGAACACAACCCAAAGGTGCCAAATTACACTCCCTGGAATGTGGAGTCCGAGTATAATAAAGACTGAGCATTTGTTTTCAGAGGGTGCCAAGGACAGGGCTAGCCCTGGAACCCTTTTGTGTATCAAGTTTCAATCTCTTCCCCTAACCCTATCCCAGATTCAGGCCATTTTACTTGCTATAGGGACTTTTTTCCAGGGGTGGGGGGAGAGGGAGGGGTGGCTGTTTTGGAGAGAAGTAGCTGCATCTGTATTGAAAATGTGTAAAGAGATAGGTCTTAATGCAAAGGCATTTGTTAAGTGTGCTTTTAATAATGGAAGGAGGATGAGGAGTTCCAATGGAGGTAAGATTTGGGAAACATCAGGGAAGTTTGGTTTATCGTGGGAAAGGGTCATCCTGACCCTCCAAGTTGCTGTCTTGGGTCCTCTCCTCCCTAGGCCTTTACCTTGCCTGCCTCACTTCCTCTCTCTGTATGCCAAGCCCTTGCAATTATGGACACCCTCTCTTGGCTCGGAACTCGGATAAATGCTACCTTGTTAGCTAATAGTACCATTAATTATATTAATGATTAATAGCTAATTAGTCATAATGCTGTAATATTTTCAATGGAGGCTTCCTTTCTTGCAGCAGTTCAATGTCTCAAGCACACACACATGCTCTATTCCTGGCCACAGAACAAACGCCGCTCTAAATTTGTTTTTCTGACCATGCCGGCAATCTCTAAATTTCTCCAGGTTTTATTAGCTGTCCCATTTATCTGGTGACTGACCACTACTGCTTATATTTTGCCTCCTTTATTTCTGTCCTCTGTCACTCACCCTACCCTCCCGTAACAGAGGCCTCCAGGAACAGAGGCCACGGGTTCTTTTTAAATTTTATTTCATAAGCCAAAGGCTCCTTTCCTTCTAAGTCTCACTTGGGCCCACTTTCCTACTTCGGCCCCTTTTCTTCACTTTACCTTTCCTTAATCCTAACCCGCCCCTCCTTCGGGGAGGCTCACACCCTCCGCCCCAAGCTCCCTCCCACTCTGCGTTTTGGCTTCCTTTCAGCAACCACGCCCCCAGACCCAGGGAGAGCGGTGCGCACGCGCAGTCCACGCCTTTACCTGGGCGCTCGGCAGTGGGCGGAGTGGGGGAAGGGGGGGGTGGAGCGGGAGTCGGCGGTTATCTGGGCGGCGGGGCGCTCACATTGTGGCAGCGGGGAGAAAAGGTGCGCCAGGGCCTGCCCGAGGGGCTGCGCATGCGCGCCGCCGCGCCCAGCGGCCGGGATGCCAGGGGGGCGGGCAGAGGGAGGTGTCGGCTCCCCGTTGGGCGGGGAGGGGGGGGCGGGCGAGGGACGGGGCCGCGGGCGCGCGCGCGCTCTCGCCGCCGCTCGCCCTCCCTCCCTGCCCCCGGCTCCGCACACAGAACCACACACGCACACCCCCTCCCCTGCCTCCCTCCCCGCGCGCCGCCCGCCCCGCCGGCCCCGCTCGCCCTCGCGCGCTCGGAAGGGAGTCGCGAGACGTCGGAGCGGCGGCCACGTAGCGCTGCGGCGGCGGCGGCGGCGGCGGCGGCGGCCGAGGCCGGGTCTGCGGAGCGGCCCTGAGGACAGACGTTGGGCGGGGGGAGGGGCCGGCCCGGCCGGCGGTTGTTACTCGAGCGCCGCGGCTACAGGCCCCCCGCCGCAGGGATGGACCGCCGAGGCGGCGGTCGGGGCGGCGGAGGCGGAGGCGGCCGGCCAGGGTGAGTAGGGGCCCCTGCCCCCCACGCACACGCCACAGTCGCGGCTGCGCCCCTTGCAGCAGCCCTTCCTCTCCGCTGCCCGCCGGGCCGGCCGGGGCTCGGGCGCCGGGTTAACCCTTCGCCGAGGCAGCTGCGTGCACTAGGCCAGAGCAGCTCCCATCCGGCGGGGAGGCCCGGGGCGCTGCGCTCCTCTGGCCGCGAGCTCGGGCCGGGGGCGCCCGCTTCTGCTCCTTCGGCCCCTCGCTCCCGGACCCGGGCCGGGCTCCAGTTTTGCAGAGAGTCCGCTCGCCCCGAGGCCCGAGGGGAGGCTGGGGTTGCCTGGGTTAGCGGGCCGAAGGAGAGGTTTGCACCGGTCCTCCAGCGAGCATTCCCCTGCCCTGCAGCTGGTGGCGTGCACCCATTGCCTCCCGGGCCCTGCGGTTGCGCCCAAACCTCCAACCCCTGGGAGTATTGTGCCGCTGGAGATAAAATGCATCCAATGTACACCCGCCCAACACTCACCCCAGAGGGTAATGCAGACCTTTCTCCACCCCCACCTCCTCCTCCCCTCCAATCAGGCTCTACTGAAGATTCTTAGATGGGAGACGCTAAAGGTAGTGACACCCCCGTTACATCTGCACATAACATGTTCATTGTCGAGGGATGTCTCCTGTAGAAATGATAAATGCCCCTGCCTCACCCTCGAAGTCTGTCTTCACGATTTGAGATCCCATATGCTCTTCTTTGAAGAGGGCCAGTCTTTGATCACATTTAAGTACATCCCTCCCCCACCACACACACACACACACACACACACTCTCTCTCTCTCTCTCTCTCTCTCTCTCTCTCTCTGTCTCTCTCTCTCTCTTCCTGATTGCCAGAGCAGCCCCTGTCATTGCGGATCCATTGTCAGGAATGGCTTGTGCCAATCAAAGGAATGTGCTTTTACTTTTGCTTTTGGAGAGGGGTTCTTTCCACAACCATGTTCTCAGGATGTTCCTGCCTGAGTCTGTGATGGTCCCCATGTTCAAGCATCGTTATCATAGTGTTTTCCTGATCTGCATCTACGGTGTGCCCTGAATAATACCTGAGTGATGCTTTTTTCCTCAGTCGATTAGATACATGTGTGTGGGCATTTCCCTTTATTTTGTTTTAATATGTAAGATCGGTCGTCAAGGCATAGTAACTACATAGGATGGTGTTTTGGGAAGAATGTGTATTTTTTTTTTTTTTCCCCAGAGATGGCCAGGCCTGTGTATTGTTCTGGGAATGGCAACTAGCACATGCTTTGTTGACAACATGTGTATGCTTAAGGAATGACGAGCTGCTGTGGCTAGCATGTGTGTACAACGAATGCAAGGGATGTTCCCGCCTAGGGCTGATTTGAGAGTGGTCAGCTGCACAGTCCTGTATCAGGACTGTGCACATGTATTCTAATAGATACTACCTTTAGTATAATTTTGTTTAAAATGATCACCTCTGAGTTTTAGTGATTCTGGAAATGTCTGCTTCAGTGGTTCTTAACCTTTCTTTGAGAATCATGAAAGCCTTTAGGGTCCTCTTTTTCGTGAAAGAGACGCTCATGATTTTTGTATGCAATTACAGTCCTCTTGAAGCTAGTCCTGGGACAGTCAGGTTGAGATCTCTATTATGCAAAAGTGAAAGGAACTTGAGTTTTGTGTTTTGTTTTGTTTCTTGAGGATTGGCATTACAGTACTTTGGTCCTGAGCAGTAAGCAACAAAGTAGATGATACATGTATCCTTGTGTTTTGTTCTTTCATTACGTTCCCTGTCTTCCTGTAAAAAGGAGACGTATGTGAGAATTTCAGAAAAAGTTAAAACTGGAGTCAAAATAATTGGTCTGAATTTGACCAGTTGATGATGTATGTTCCTTGCACTGTTTTCTAAATGTAGCATATTTCAACAGCAAAGTCAGTGGTCTGTTTCATGATACCTATCCATGATGTGTTGATGGAGGTTGACTTGATTTCTTAAAAGAAGGCTTTGTCATTCCCATAGTAGAGCACCTGCTCTGTGCAGTTTTTTTCAACTTTATTAAATATGATTTCATGTCTTTATTCAGGGTGACATTGCCACCAGAACCATCCATTTTAAAGTTTTGTTTTAATGGGAGGATCTTAATTGCAGTTAGGGAATTCAGTCCCCGTGTTTAGAATTTAGAACAAGGGATGAACTTTGCACTATTCTATCAACAAGCAGGGGATAAATATCAGCTATTCTTGTTTAAATCACTCTGCATCCAGCTTTTGCCTTTTGATTATATTTCAACCAAGGGGGATTTATTCCACTTGTGATAGGTGTTGTGATGGGCAGTGACATTAAAGAAACATAGTCCCCAGATCTCCAGGAGTTTACAGCTCTGACAATATTTTTTACCTGAAGAATCCTTTGAGACCTTTTATTTATTTATTTTTTACATTTTTGAGGTTCTGAGAGGCTACCCAATTCATGGTATTAACTTGTTTTGGAAGGCGGTGGGGGAGGCTTGGAATCTTGCATAGAACCTGTTCCACACACCTGAAGAATAGCATTTATTCTAATAATTAGGCGGTATACCCTATGAAGTTTGAAAGCATGCTGAGATGGCAAATATTGCATTTTTTATTATCTAATAAACATGCTTGAAGTGGCTTATATTACAGGTTATATTTTTTGTTCATGTCATGCCTTAAGCTTTACTGTCGGAAATTATTTGCCTATCCTAAACCCAGACCATTTCAATGTTGCAAATATGTTACTTTGTCAGCGTCGTAGAGTGACAGATCACTAAAATCTCAGGGGACAGTGTGCTTCCTTGATTTAATATTGCAGAACCTCTTCTAACCAGTCCCTTACCTAGTTAAACACCCACACACCACAGAGCAGCTGATCATAGAACACGTATGGCTGTGAGAACAGCATTCTGTCTGCCAGATTCAGAGCTTGGAGGCTGGAAAACAATTGCATGGCAGTGAAACACTTAAGGAGTAGTGGGGCCAGCAGCTCCCTCATTAATATAAACAGCTTGCTTTAGTTTCTTCAGCACTCTTCCTCAGACACCCTTCCCTTAGGAGGTTTCAGATCAGCGGCTCCTACTCAAGGGAAACCACCAACTTTCTGCAACTATGGCCTCAAGATGTAATTCGTGACACCCAGAGCTGTTTCCATTTCTGCTCAAAGTATGGGAAGTAATCTTGTAGTGTGGTAAGAAAATACTTTTCAAGTCTGTAGAAAAAAGTTGGTTAGTAATGCTACTGATTTGATTTTGTTTTTGAATGTCTAGAGCCTGTCAAAGAAGTAACCTGTAAAAGTGAACTGTTTAAAAAAAAAAAAATCACCCTTTACTCAAGGGTTTTAGATAATTTCACCAAGAATGTGAATATACTCTTGAGTTTCATTTCCCTTGTTGTAAAAAGTCCGTGAAGAGACAGCCAACAACAACAACAAAAACCCCTGTGAATTCTCTTATATTTTGAACCATAGCCTTTGGAACTAGTTATTCTAAAGGAGGTGACTGCATTTCCTGGCAGGGAACTCTCGGGTCTTGTGCTCCAGCTTTAGGTATGATAGTCTTCTCAGCTGTTGTCACCATTTCTGACAGTTAACGCTTGAATTTACTTTGATAGAGGGAACCGGTGTTGCAGGTAGTGAATTTAGCTGAAGGAGGATCAGGGAGATGGTCCTTCGGAGCCTGGCAGAACAGGATTTGAATCAGCTCCAGCAGTTACTGACTCTACGGCATTGAGCAAATCACCTTGACCTCTCTGGCCTCACTTACCTCAACAGTAGAATGGGATTTGTTTTAAGGATTAGAGATAATACATGCAAGCTGCTAGCACGGTTCCTGGCACATGTCCGTTTGAAGGACTCAAAAACAGTAGGACACGGCCGATGTGGGAAATAGAGATCGTTTTGGCTGACAAGAGGTCTGGTGCTGCGACCTGCATACTTTCATTTGTGCAGATTTGGGATGAAAAAATTGCAAATATTTGACTTGGAGCATACCTAAGTCTTGCAGGTGCAGTGTGCATATTGGAACTTTGATTTGTTGCTCTATGGCTGGCTGAACGTGGTAGAGACAATAAAACTTAGCTCCAAATTCTGCAGTGCTACCCACAGGCTGTCTTGTTTTAAACCTATTCAGAGCTTGTGTGGTGAAGGGGGTGTTTTAGGACATAAACGTGTCTCAATGAGTTCTGTGTCCAGAGTTGAATCACGTGCAAAGCCTTGTGTAAATTTTCATGGTTAATGCAAGCCATAAAGTGCTTGGTAGAATCAGTGAAGACATCAGATGCTTATTTTAGTTAATCTGTTTGTTTATATAGCAGTTATGTATGATTTTATAAAACACTTATGAACATTTTCTCCTGAAGAATTCCCATTGCTCATCTGAGGTTTTGATCATAAACTGTTATTAGGGTTATAAGTTTGAGTGCCTTAGGCATTTTTGCTTCGGTGGGTGAAGGAAAGAAAAGTAAAGTTCCCTTACCTGTCAAATTTTATCAACTCTGCACTTTAGGCCTATACCTACAGATTGTGTGTGTGTATTCCCTAGCCTTGTTTTTAGCCTGAAAGGTAATTTTATGGTAAAATATGACATTTTTTTCCTCTTTAAAATATAGTTTAAGAGATTGCTTTGGAGAGTAGATTCAGGGGCATGTATACAGTTTTAAAAATAGAATTTCTTGGCTTCTGTAGAATTATTCTGTCACTTTTGCAGGATATCATTGTGATAAGTCTGTGAACCCCCAAGAGTTACCTAGAGACTTTTCTGATAAGGTAGACACATCAATAATGCATTAGGATTTACCTCGGGGGACTGTGCTAATCCGTATTTTCTTTATTATTGAGCCACCTAGGGCTTTCCCATCAATGGAATCAGTCACTAGTATTGGATTGCTGATAAAGAAGGATTGGCAAATAATGGTCTTAGACTTGCCTTAGATTTTGCAGAACACTTGAAAAAATTTAATCTCACCCAGATGTATAATAATAATAAGAGCACTTACGCTATGTGAGCC